ACTAAGTGTTAATGCAAATTTTAATGATTCAAAATCTGATGATCAGCATGTTATTTTAATTTTGGACAAGTATGTTCAAATGTTGCCATGGGAAAGTTTTCCTTGTTTACGAAATCAATCAGTTTCTCGATTACCCTCAATTTCATTTTTAAGAGATCGAATTCTGTCAATGAAACGTCAAAATATTAATAATTCAAGTAACAATGAAAAATATTTTATTGATCCACAAAAAACGTTTTACATTCTTAATCCGAGTCAAGATTTAGAGAATACACAAAAAAAATTTGAAGATTTTGTTAAAAGGTTTATTTATACATAAATATTATATTTAAAAAAAAATAATAACATAATTATTTATTTTATGATGATATTGTTTTTAGTTTCGAAGGATGGAATGGTGTGATTTGTCGTCAACCATCTGAACAAGAATGTAAAAATGCGTTGAGTAACAATGATCTTTATATGTAAGTGAGGATTCTTTTTCATGGTGATTTAATATTAATACATTTTTTTTTAATAACTATTATTTTAATTGTAGTTACATTGGGCATGGAACTGGAGAACAATATATTAAAAGAAGTATTGTAAAACAAATAGATAATTGTGCTGTGGCTTTATTGATGGGTTGTAGTAGTGGTACTTTGAAATTAGAAGGCGAATTTGATCCTTTCGGATCATCACTTAATTATTTGATTGCAGGATGGTTAGTTATTACAATTATTCTTAATAGTTTTGTTTTTATCATTTTCATATTGTTTTCTGATGTTAATGTATATAATATATAAATAATAGTCCTGCGTTGGTTGCGAACCTATGGGATGTGACTGATAAAGATATCGATAGGTTTAGTAAAGCTTTATTTCATGAATGGAATTTAAAACCAAATCATGAATTAGATAATGTAATTGGGAATGATACAAAAAAAATTGATGTATCGTTAGTTAAAGCTGTTTCAGTCGCAAGAAAAGAGTGTAGATTAAAATTTTTGATCGGGGCAGCACCTGTAATTTATGGTGTACCTGTTTACTTAAAATGAACGTTAGTTTGAAAATAAACAACATATTTATTAAGATTTTGTATAAAAAAATTTTTTTTATTTACTAAAAGTCCCAAAGATATATATATATATATATATATATATATATATATATACAAACTATATATAATAAAATTTTTAAAAGTTCAATAAATAATAAATATAATATTTTAATGAGATCATTAAACAATAAATAATATTGTTTAATTTTTTAATTTTTATTATTTTAACCATTCATGATTACTAATTTCTTCCAAAGTAAAACGTTTATCAGGATCAGACATTAATATTTTTTTAATTAAATCTTTTGCCTCATTACTAATTGTACCTCTTCTACCACGTTCACCTTCCATGGAAGTTTTAGGAAAATCAAATTCTGCTTTGATAATTTTATGTAAAAATTGTTTTCTTGGCCCATCAAAATTAAATGGCAAATAACCAACCAATAAACTATATAATATAATGCCCAATGACCATATATCTGTTTTCTTACCATCATATGGTGATTTACCAGATATAAGTTCAGGCGCAGCATATTCTTCAGATCCACATCTTGTTGATAATAAAGGATTTGTTGGATCAACAAATTTAGCTAATCCGAAATCAGTTAACTTTATAATTGGATTGGATTTTAATAGATCTTTTTTGTTGGAATCTACATCCTTGTTGTTATTGTTATTGGTGTTATCATTAATATTATTACTACTATGACTGCTAGTATTGTTATTGTCATTATTATGGTTATTTTCATTAGGATAATCTAATAAAATATTTTCCAATTTTAGATCTCTATGAACAATGTTATTATCATGTAGATATTTCACAATGTCAACTAATTGTAAGAAAATTTGTTTTGAATCTTGTTCAGTTGTCTCTTCATAATAATCATTGACATAATCAAATAATTCTCCACCAGGAATATATTCTAATATTAAACAAAAGTGAGTTGAAATATCTACTACATCAAATAATCTTACAATGTTCGGATGATTAATGAACTACAAACGAGAAGTTATTATTAACTAATTAATTAATTAAAATAATTAATCTTTTGATTTTAAAATATATTAAATAAATCTAACCTTTAACATTTCAACTTCTCTTAAAACACTAGATTTTACTCTTTCACTATCTTGAATACCTTTAATCCCAATGATCTTTATAGCAACCTTTTGACAATTACTTAAATCAATTGCCAATTTAACTTTAGAAAAGCTACCTTCGCCAATTGTTTTTTGTATAGCGTAATGACCAATTAATTCGGTTGATTTTAAACCTAATTTTAATAATCTAGATTGCAAAAATCGATCATCCATAAGATGACTTTGTAAATCAACCGACGCCAAAACATTATTATCATTGTCATTGTCATAAATGTTATTATCGTTGTTATTACTATTGATAGTAGTGTTTGCAGAGGTATTTGGGTCATTAGTTAGACTTGAAGGACTTATTTTATGTATCGATAAATGATGGGAAGTTGGAAAATCCATTAAAGAAGTGGCAGGACTGGGTAAGTCTGTTAGTGGATCATCATTGGACGCTACTCTGCTATGTTGAGACTTTTTTGATAGAATTGAATCAGATGTTGAGGCTCTCGATATGTTTTGTTGATGTTTTTGATGTTGTTGATTATGATGGTGATGATGTTGATGATTCTGATTCTGATGATCAAAAATTGTTATGATTTTTGGCAGAACTTGTGATCCCATTTTCTTTTGATCACCGAATGATGAAGCTGACGACGACGACGACGACGATGATGATGATGATGAAAAAGAATCATTATGATCGTTTTTATCCATGATATCAAGATTCGCCGATGAATCGTTTGAAGTTATATTAGAAGACAACAGTGTTTGTTGTAGCGCATTCTCTGTATTTATGTCAATTGGAGTAGTTATTGCGGTATTATTATTATTGACTTTTGATGGTGTTGTCGTCATTGAGTCTAACTTTTGTACATTCAATTTTAAAGTTTCCAAATTTGTATAAATACGATCCTTTTTTGATTTAGTTGATGAGCTTTTGGCTATTTGCTCTATCATGACTTTGATGAATTTGATGGATAGTTAAAAAGAAAAAGAAAGAAAACTAAGAAGTATCTTTTTATACATATACATATATATATATATATAGCAACAAAACAACAAATTACAAATCAACAAAGTATAACATGATGACACAGAGATCAAAAAAAATTTAGCAGCTAGTTACACGAAGTGTCAGTATTTGAAATCGAGTACAGTAGGAGGAAAAAAAAGCATTTGATTATAAAATAATTTACTTTTTCTAAATCTGCATTCTGCTCTTCCATTTCATCTTTTTTACCCTTCAAAACTAATTTTGAATAAAAATATTTATTTATTTATTTCAATTTATATACTAAAATTTGAATCCCTGCAAATTTTTTTTTATGATGTAATGTTTTTCCTGGTCCAAATTTGGAAATCGATTCTAGAATAAATAATTAGAATCTCTTTGTCGATTAATTCATATATGAGACTGTAACAAAACCGGGGCAAAGTGAACATTGGTATTACCAAGAATTTCAGGGATTAAAATCACAATCATTTAATATTAATATCAAAAGTTTCGGTATAGCGGATTTGGGGGTTTAGCGGATAAATTTTCAAAACCAAATTTTTCTATAACAATTTTATCTCAGTTTAACGGATTTAACGGATTTTTCATATAATTCGGTTTACCGGATATTTTTTAAAATTCATATATTAATATTAATATGTCACTTATAATAAATTTTTCTCGATATTACGTATAACGATGATCTTTACTATTTTGGGCTAATATGAGTAATGACGCGCAATTATTAAATATTAATATTAAGAATGTAAAAAAATCAGAAATAAATTGTAATAATCAGCAATACATCCACAATTTAATCTAACATATTTCTAGCTATTTCTTGGCAATGACACTATCAATATGTCATTTTCTTTTATTTCCTTATATGCTAAAATCGTAAATATTGTAAAAGGACAAAGTGAAGTTGATGACGATGAAACAAATGAAACAAATGAACCTGAGCTGATGATCATTAATATGGAGGCTATAAAAGCTTCGGAAACTATACTTAAATATGTAGAGCAAAAAATTTTTAGATGTTGATTTTCAAGTAATTAGAAATGTCAAAAGATTAAAAAGTGAAATTTCTTACAAAAATTCTCAAGAACAAGTGCAAACAATAATGGAAGATTGTTATAATGTCAACGTTTTAAGTGAATGAATTGTTTTTTTTTAAATTTTTTATCAAATGTATTTTTATTATCATCATTATTATTTGCATTCATATTATTTAAAAATAAAATTATTTACGCAACATGTATCACATGATTTAATCAAAAATTCGATTTTTTATGGATATCTCGGTATTACGGATGACTCGGTATAGCGGATAAATTTCCTGGAACAAACATATCAGTTATACCGAGACTCACTGTGTATCGTAATGTTTAATTGAGACCACTTTGTTTCCTATTTTTATTTGTGACATGGATATTCAATAACATATCATTTGTAGCTAGAGATTTGTAAAAAAGAATATCGTGGAAATAATACAAACTTAATTTAGCAAGTTAGATAAACAACTGTGCATGATTCTTTATTGATTGTTAAATTTTGTTCCCAAGTATAAACAAGCAAAAAAAAAAACAGTATTGACATGATTATTTGACTTTAAAATTAAAAAAAAGCATTACATGGCTTTAACAAGCATCACACTAATTCAAATCAAAATCAACCTAAAAATATAAATGCACTTTGATAGTTACCTGATATCACCTTAAATCAATGCTGCATAAGGGATCTCAAGTACATATTGTTTAACCTTTGACATTATTAATCCATTAATCTTCTTCACCTTTCCATTTTGATCTAGGAAATTTTGCACTGGATAGTTACCAAACTTGTCTTCAGGAACAACAAAATAAAATCCAATGTTTCGCTAATTTGCTTCTAATGCTGCCCATTTTATTGCACGATTTTTTGAAATTGTAATTTGGAAGATATAGTTCGATGGAAATATTGCATCATTGCTTGGAAAATTTGACGGTTGTAATGGTCTAGAGAAATATCTTGAATATATGAATCCACTTGAGAGGTCTCTGTTGCAGAACTATTGACATTGGCAAGGATGTATTATTCTCCAAACTACATACAGTGAATGCTCCACCGTTTTGGAGACATCTGTGTGCAACACCCTCAAATAATGTACCTCTCATTGGTGATATTTGTCCCTTACCTTCACTTGCTTGTAAAAATTCCTTCAGTTTCTGTTTTTCTTCTGTCATTATTTTGTTCATTATACTTTCTTCAACATAAACTGAAGCAAAAATGTAACTTGTTGATAAATAATTAAGCGTGCTAATGTGAATTATCCTATGACTAATGTTATCTGACCTAAATGATATTCGTTTGGAGCGACTTGGCGTCGTACAAAGTCTCATGGGGCCTCCTTTTTGGATTGGAGAATTAAGCCAATGCACCCCATTTCTTTGACTATGTAAAGAGAATCGATTTTTTTTTGAAAATTAATCTTATTTTTTACAGAGTCCAAGATAAGGAAATGTGAGAGTTGTTGTTTGGTATGGTTTGGTTCTGAAGACGTGTTAATAACTAACCAGAGATACTTTTTTTATTTGTATAGATATAATGTGGTGCCTTAGTTTATAAAAATAAATAATGGAATCAAAACGCGGAGCAGAATTTGCTGGGTAATTATAAGATTCTTATCTATCATATTGTAAACTGTTGCTGAAATCATGATTTGTTTTTTGTTTTTTTCATTCTTTCCATATTCGATAATGATTTGATTTTGTCAATTGCTGTAATATATGTAACAATTATAATAACATATTTACTTATTTAATATACATCAGGTTCTCGGAGGTTTTATATGGGAAACAATATTGTTTTGATGATGATGTTGTCACAAGTGATATTTTTTTAATTTTCTTTATCATCATCATTGTCAAGTTGATGTTGATGTTAATATTAATGATGTTAATGATGGTAGTGTAGATAATGATATCACATCATCATTCTAAAAAATATGTGTGAAAATATCTTAGAGATATATACAATTAATATAAAAAATTCAATCGATTATTATCATCAAACAATGACATACCAAAAGAATCAAATTGTCATCATATAATTTTTTCTCACAAGAAAGTCCAAATTTAATTTTTTTCTTCTGGGTCCTAAAATGTTCTTGGGTGCCATATGCATTGTAAAAAAATCTAATGTTTTCTGGACTCTCAAAATAAATATATCCATAACTATAATTCACAACAATATAGATATTACTAAAAATAAATAATGTTTACTTATTTGCAAGTGTTTTACTACTGTATATCTAATTATTCCAAAATGTTTGTCAAGAGATCATTCTTCGCCTTTGGTATAATCGCTATACTTGTGCATTAATGTATTATTAGATGAACAACAAATTATTGTCTCTAGATAATTGTTATGGCTGTAGTACATATTTTTTTAGAAAAAAATATCTCTAATTAAAGAAGTCAAACCAGCAAAAATACTTAATTAAAAAGCCAAAAAGACCAAGAAAAAATTTACTTCTAATAAAAGAAGTCTAAAAACATTTCTAATAAAGAAGCATCAAAATGAAAACAAACTATTTTTAATTAAAAAAGCTAAAAATTCCTTTTAATAAAAAATGCTTCTAATTGAAAAAGCCACACACCAAAGTAAAATCGCTTTTAATAAATTTAAACATTTGCTTTTTTGCTTTTTTAGTAGATCAAATGATACACTACAACAAAAATCTCAGAAGACTACACTCACTTACCATAAGTATCCGACCACCCAAGTTAAAAGAAAAGAGTCCTTACTAAAAAAAAGTAACGTTTTCTTAAATAAAACCGTTTTTACTTTACTAAGTCGACTTGTACTTGATATCAAAATCTCTAAATTACAAAAGCTTCGAAAGGTTCGGTATGGTATTAATGGAAACATTTAGCAAATAATCCAAAAAAGCAAATTTTCAATCGGAATCTTTACATATAATAAAGGTCAAATTTCTTCATTGTAATGTATATTATTTCATTAATAAAATGTGCTCAACGTAACAGATTACATATATCCACAATATGGTGCATAAATTAGTTCGTGAAAAGGGTTTAAAAAAAGGTATCTGACCACCCCTAATTTTATCATATAAAGCACTTAATAAAGTTGACAAAATGCAAATTTTAAGGCTTTACGTTTTTGTCTATACTTTCTCAAATTTTAATCATATATAATTCAAGGTATTTTAAGTGAACTTACTTAATGACATAATCCATGATTCAACGGAGTTTTGAAGGTTTTTACTAAGCTCAAAGTTTTCATAAAAATCATGGGATTTTTTGTCTAATCTAAAATTTTCATCCTAAATTCATTAATAATGCAAACTTGACGAGACTTTAAGTTTATATGCAAATTAGCTTTTAAAAACGTGTTTATTTAATGCACCAGTCCCTGTTTGATTAATAAAATTTTGAATTGCATAAGGCGTAACATGATCATCAGGTGGTCGGATATTTATTAATTCCAAGATAAAAAATATGTTTTACTTTTTTAGTATAATTAACACAAAACAACAATTCTCTTTATTCATTTTTTTTTAGAAATAACAATAATCTCTTTTATTTATCTGTTTCTGTTTTAGTTGATCAATAAATCTTGGGTCTCAAGATAATTTATCTTATTCATTTTTAGTATGTAATTTAAATCTAATGTAATTATTTTTCATGGAACCAGTTGAGGATTTTTCTTTTTCTTTTATATCAATTCTGCTTTTCTGTCCACTTTTCTTGTCACAGGACCAATTTTATGGTCTCTTCAATTTTAAAATAAATGAAAACCCACTAAAATTATATATATATAGGGTTATAGGTATATGAAAAGTAATAATGAATACAATGGTTCTAATGAATATCAAAAAGCAATTGATTTTTTAGAAAAATGTTGTAAATGTGGTTGCTCTTCAAGAATTCCCAAGGAAGAATTTGCAGAATTACATGAGTCCTTTCAAGCTCATTCTAAATCAGAACAAGACATATTTTTAATGGCACAGATTAAAACAATGGATGGAAGGACAGTAAACACCAGCAGACACCTTAAAAAGAAAAACTAGATCTAATAAAAAGAACTTTCTATCACTGAGATCACAATACACTACTTTGTCAAGAAACTCATCTCAATATGCTAGGAATTGGCAGAACTTACTTTGAAAATATCAGAAATCGCCTGATAAACAATGGACTTCTACCAAGAGTTCATGGTGATGTAAAGAAGATACCTCAATGGAAAACTAAAATGGTGATTTATAAGAATGTTGCTGAAGTAGTAAAGAATTTTCTGGAAAATTATGCTGAAGTCCATGGATTACCAAGTCTGGGAAGAAGTAACAATAGGATAACCCAATCAGTTATGTTCATACCAGCTGAAATGAGTTATAAATCTGTGCACAGAGATTTTCTAGCTGGTCTAGAAGAAGAAGATAGCAAATTGAAATCCTTAAAATATGATGCTTTTAGAAAATTATGACATCAATTGACATCAGAAATTCAAATTATGAGTCCAAGGACTGATTTGTGTGATACTTGTCAACATTTTAGAGATGGTTTACATTACAATGCTTGCCAAGAGGAAGAAGCTAAAGATTTGCTGTTTAAATTCCTAAATTAAAATTAAAATTTTCATTCTTCCTATATTTATTATGGAAAGAACATTTGAAACGAATAACGCAAGGATGGATTTCAAAATATTCTCGTAAAAATTTTTAATATTATTCATTTTTAAAAAATAAATGGTTATTATTATTAATTAAATATATAATAAATTATCGACTTTTACTCGAAGTGGTCGTTCCTTGGTGATTTTTTTGTACTTATCATTAATATTAAATCAATTCATCGGAATTAAAGAAGCTCGGCCAACAGATTTAATTCCGGTAACACCATGTGTTATTGATGAAGAGGTTAACACATTATTTTTTCATAATGAATTTGCTTTGATAAATAACAAAACTACTCTCCTGAAAAGAAAATCAAAACTATTATGTATTCTCTACAAATTAGTTGAATTTAAAATAAAAAAATTTTTTTTTTTGTCTTTCGAAATTGAATTCAAAATTAAAATCAACTAATACTAATACTAATACCAATACTGACACTGTTCAGAGCTTAGGCTAAAAACTACTTGGCAGTTCCTGGTATTCTAATTTTTGCATTTAAAATTCGTTATGCTAAAATTACTAAACACATTTCAATGAATTTTATGTTTTTTAAAAATTTATAGCGAATTTAATTATAATTCGTTGAAACTACTGTATAAAATTTCACTAAATATTTGTAGAAATTAAATCGATCTTTATTATTATTGAATTGAGCTAGAGTTCCTATTCGTAATACAAATTCTTATTCGAATTATTCGGAATACAACTCAGTAATAGTAACACCTGATGAATTAACGGTGAAAAAAAGCGAACGCTGTTAATTCGAATTATTCGTTTCGTTCCTTTTGTTTATTCGAATCATTTATTTTATTCGTTTATCCGAATCGACCCGGACCATTCGTTTTATTCGTTTTATTCTCTAAGTTGAGCATACTCAGGTTAAAACTTGAATTTTCAAGTTCGAGCCGAGTTCAAGAAAATAGGATCTTAAATTGTTTTTAGGCAATAAATAAAATAAAAGTATTAAAATTAATCATTTGTTACTTTTAAAAAAAAAATTATGCAGCGTCAGACTCGAGCCTGGCTTGAGCTCGGCTCGTTCGGAGATTTATGTGTGAATAACCTTTCCGCGGTTTTATTTCTAAACACTCAATTAATAGCCTTTCAGAGATTTTTTTTTTATTTATATTAGTAAACTTTTTTTTGTAAGGGTTCAAAGTTATCAATTTTATTATAAATAATGGAAATTTAGACATATGCGCTGATTTTGTTTGAACCCCAAAATCCAGTACGGTATGATCATAACATTATGAATACTTTATACTAGCAAAAACCCATTGGTTTTGAGGTGGGGCCATTGGTTTGACGGGTTGATGAATAGTAAATTAGTTTTTTTAGCGGATCAAATAATTTTTTTTAGGGTAATTATCATTCTACCGACCAGTTTACACATTAAAAATACTCGTGTTTAACATCAAGACACAATAAGACATAAGGTTTGAAAAAAGGCCCAGAAAACCAAATCGGCTGATATGATCAAATGATGTGTTTTTTTTTATATATATTTGTTTTAAATTTCTTTTTTCAAAGTAAGCTGGTTATAATTTATTAGTATGACAGCTCTTCTCTTTTCATACCCTAATATGCTTTTTATGTTTAGACTAATGGTTCAGAAAGAAAACATGGAGAATCCAGGATGAGACCAATGACACATATCAAGCCTGGTGTGATGACCCAGATGAAGATACAGACTTTATGTGCACTGCAATACTAAATCCAGAACCACTACAATGTATGCTCTTTGTCTCTAAATATTTTATGCAAAAATTTTTTTTAAAACTTGCCACTTTATATATACTTTTAGGTAAACTTCTTTTGGAATCTGTAAATAAGCTCTCAAGTAAATCTCCTAAGCATTGGAATGATGATGATGTTATGCCGATAGTCAAACTTCTTGCTGGACAACCTTTCATTGATGGAACAGGAGAAAATTACGAAGGAGCTTGTGCGTTTCACACGATTTCCCCTGACTTCGATTCATACTTGGAAATACGATAACATTTGTGGGTTGGTGGACCCGACCTATGTGGTAGCAGATATTGGGCAAATTCGAATTATGTATGGATATTTAATGGTCCTCATCGGGTGGTGAATGGGCTTAGGTTGTTTGTTTTTAACACCGCTTCTCCAGGAATACATTATTGATTATTTTTTCTATTTTCATTAATAATATTATAAATTTCTTGCCTATTATTACTATGGTGCAAGTCACTTAGTCGCTGAACTTTTTATTGGCTGTGTAGATCCTATATCCTCTCCAAAAATGGAAAT